CTGTGTCCCTGCAGCCCATGGGGGTCTACAGTGGAGCAGAGATCCATCTGCAGCCCATGAAGGAGCCCCACACCAGAGCAGGCTCCTGGTAGGACCTGGGTCCCATGGACAGGAGCCAGGCCTTCTGGCAGGACTTGGGACTCTGTGGGGAACTCTTGCTGGAACAGTTTTTGATGCGAGAGGGACCCACACTGGAAAGGTTTATGAAGGACCGTACCCCATGGAAGGGACCTGAGGCTGGAGCAGGGGAAAAGCACAAGGAAAAAGGGGCAGCAGAGAAAAAATGTTAAAACCTGACTGGAACCCCTGCTCCCCATCCCTTTGCATCGCTCAGAGAAAGGGAGGAGGTACAAGAGCTGGAATTTAAGTTGAGCCTGGGAAGAAGAGTCGATGGAAAGTGGTTTTAGTTTTGTTTTACTTCTCACTACCCTACTCTGTTACAATTAATAGGCAATAAATTAAGTTAAATTTCCCCAAGTTGAGTCTCTTTTGCCTGTGACTGTAATTGGTAAGTAACCTCCATGCCCTTACCTCAACCTGTTAAACTTTTCATTGTATTTTCTCCCCTGTGCTGCTGAGGAGTGATAGAGCAGCTTACTGGAACCAAAAATAGAGTTGTCTTTAAGATACAAATGAACTTGGCATAGCAAAGGGTGGAACAATGAATCAGGATAGACCAGCAAATCTGTAAATATCCCAGATGAATTTATAGTGGTTATTTCAGAATTCAGGACCTGAAACCAAATCCCCTTCAACCAGTTGAGGGCAATGGAGGTTGCTACCACCCATCCCTTTGGCAGAGTTTTCAGCTCTCACAATGGACCAACTGGCCCTGTAGAAGCTGGTATACCACTCAGTCTTGGAAGCTCTTGTTTGAATACTCTGGATAATAGCCTGCTTGATTTTGCTACTCAGCAGGTCAGTGGGCACGTAGTGGTGGGACAAGAGGGAATAGCTTTAAACTGAAAGAGAGTAGGTTTAGTTTGGACATTAGGAAGAAATTCTTCCCTGTGAGGGTGGTGAGGCCCTGGTACAGGTTGCCCAGAGAAGCTGTGGCTGCTATCTCTGGAAGTGTTCAAGGCCAGGTTAGATGGGTTTTGGAGCAACCTGGGATAGTGGAAGATGTCCCTGCCCATGGCAGAGGTTGGAACTAGATGGGCTTTAAGGTCCCTTCCAATCCTAATCATTCTACGATTAAGTACACCTTCTGGTGAAAGACAGAATTTATGTACTCCTGAGAACCACAAGCTGAGCAAGAATATACAGTCAAAAATATTAAGAAATTGCATACATCAATTTTCAGATATTATCTAATTCTGTCACAAAGACGCATATTTCTTTTCCTTAGAAGAAATAACAACCAAACAAAACCACGCCAATTATCTATTTTCCCTCAACTACCCCACAAATTCATATTACTGCAAAAATCTTGCTACTGTGATATTAATACCTAATCTAAAACCATTCCAACCTTCCTACTCATACATACATCTATTCTTCTGAAGATCATCTTCACATCTCTCTAAATTTCTAAGGGAAGCTTTCATAGGAAAAAGCTCTTCACAGACAAGAAAGATGCACAAGTACTTTCTATTTACTGCCAGACAAACTTTCATTCAGGACTTCTCCATCGCTACAGACAAAACCTCTCTTTCTACACATGTCAAGGACAGTAAGCAAACCCATGACATATACAATCCATTCCTATTGCACTACTGAGTAATTAAAACCAGTGCGTTGGGGCAAATAGACAAAGGAGGTTGATAAAGATTGCATTAAGATCTCAGGCTTGGCATTTGCTAAATTCTGAAATCTTAGCTTTGCAAACTTAACAACCGTAATGAAATTATATTCAGTAACTGTAATGAAAGATAGCTTGTCCCAACATTTCTGGTAAAATGGCCAAGAATTGGAGCGGTCCAGCAATAGTTTTTGGTTCACTGAAGACAGGCAGAAAACCAGGCAGCCACAGACCAGAAACTCAGCACATGAAAAACCTTAAAGCTTGTGTATTTTGTTATCAGGTAAAAAGAAAAAGAGGTCCAGAGTTGCAATGTAGCTTCCACAAATATATGCACAGCAGCTTTGTCTACAGCACAATTCAGAAAACGCCAGCTGCTTTTGTCAGGAGTACAGAAACAAACCATCAACACCTTCAACCTGACAAACACTAAAAATATATATTTAAAGTAAGGATATGATCTCAAGATAGCTGGAGGATATGCAAAGCACTGAAACCCCGCAGGCTGAATTTCTTCCTATTGCTCAGTACATGCAATTTTCCTTAACGTAATGGACAGATACTTTGCACCAGGAGTGAATTTAAATGCATGGCTATGATGTATAAAAAAGCTTTTGTTCTACAACAAAGATGGCATCTGTATCAACATAATTGACGCAGCTGTAAAAATTTTTAATTTGGCTTGATTGCTCTTTGTTATTTGCCGAAGTGGAAACTCAATAAATTTACATTCTGCTGCCAGTTTTCTCCCGAAGACTTATTTCTCCCTCTGATAAGAAAGGTTGCGCTGAACAAGTGCTCTCAGTTATACTTACTTAGAATCAATGATCGAATTAAATTACATACTTGTACTTTATAAAGTTCCTGAGGATCTTCTCTGTCTCACATTGTAACAATAGCAATACTTGAATAAAAAGAATCCAGTGGATATTTGGTTCTGCCCAGAGCATACTCCATCTTCTCATACATCTTCACTTGTTGAAAGAGGTCATAATAATGTGTTTTATTAATCAATTTATCAAACCATGAAAAAGAACCAGTGCTCTAAGTGCACTATTAAGTCTTGTTAAGCTATAACAAAAGCATGGTACAATTATCTGCACTAACAACTGCGTGATATGACCGATCAGCATTTGTCAGATAATTCCATAAAGAGACAGATGAGCATGTGTATGGGGCAGGGAATATATCAGTGCGTAGCTAATTAACAGGACCAAATCCCTGAGTATAAGGTGGCAGAGGAAAGAAGGAAACACATGTAATTGCCTTGCCTATTTAGAAATCTGATGTATTTAGCAGGGGTGCAGTAGTGAAGATTCTAATTGTGGGTGCACACTACAGCCAGAACTCCACTTTCTTCTGCATTGCTGAAACAATGAAATCCCATTCGGGCTTAACAAGATACAGCATATGTAACATTGCCTCAGACTTGTACTAGCCCAGTTCTCAACAATTTCAGCCCTTGCCTGATGTTTCTATTAAGAATAGTCCAACTCAGCACAACGGATTGTGACCCAAAAGCCACTTGCAGCATGAGAATGTAGATACATCTTTGCACAGTTCATCAGCTGCTTTGGGTCAGGTATGATGGTTTCAAAGCTTTTAACAAGTGTGTGTGAACAGAACCGAAACAAAGGAAAAGAATGAACGAAAATTAATTCTTTTGTAAAATATCACAGAGAATTAGCTTAAATGAAAACAGAAACCCTCTGTATGAGGAGGAATGCAGTGTAACTCAATGGACTGCTTCATTTGTTTCTGCACAGATTTCCCATGCAACCCCAGGTCTCACATTCTCTTTTCTGCAGCTATTCAACTGCATAAAGCAAACAATGATCCTTTCATAAGCCTTGTGTCTGAACAGCAGAAACTCTTAAAAGCAGTCTGTTACAACTCTCTCCTTAGTGCCCAACATAAAGGGCACTATGAAAAAAATTCCAAACAAAATCACCCTCATGCAAAGGGTGCTAAAATGAAAAAAAAAAAAAAAAAAAAAAAAAAAAAAAAAAAAAAAAAAAAAAAAAAAAAAAAAAAAAAAAAAAAAAAAAAAAAAAAGGACTCTAAACCTTTGCCAGCTCTGGAAGAAGTAATCTCAGAGAGAATTTGAGGATAGATGGGTTTTGACAAGTTATTTAGAAGACTAACTCATAACTGATGCAATACTGTATTAATTTTTCTTGCTACTCTGTAGCAGAGAAAATGCCACGATTACAACAGGTAATCTATGACACATCTTAAAAATTGCCACTAAATCTCTGATTAAGTTACACAGCAGCATAAGTGAGGTCTTGATATCATGCTAAAAGCAAATGCAAACCTGATAATTTTCTCCTTCCCTAATTACCTATTTAACAACTGTAAATACCCTGAATGTATTATGTCTACTTGTCACTTAAATATTATCAAAATACAGAATTCTTATGATACATAATAAGAGGTTTGTAACTCAGTTTGTAAGTATTACTTTTATGCACCTGTATACTAAAATAGACCTGTTCATAGCTATTTTCAGGATTGACAACACGCAGCAAATCCATAAAGAAAAGCCTCCTAAAATGGCCGAGTACATCAAATTCTTTTAAAAGCTAGATTAATTAACAAGTACCATTATGCCTGAGCCCCATGTCACTGATGGAGAAGCTAGGTCTTCTTCCTAAAGTCAACAAGGTAATTTTAATCTTCAAACAACTAGGCAATTTAGGAGCCAAAGTAACAATTAAGACTGCTTAGGTCTTTGCCCTAATTCTTACTGGTTCCAGAGTCTTACTGGTGTATCAGTGCCCATTTCCTACTCATTTCAGTGGCACAAAGTTACATAAATATTTACATAAAACTGGTTGTAAATACACCTGAAGGTACGTGTCCTCACAGAAATTCCAGAAAACAATTTGCTGACTTTAAGGAGCAAAATAACCCAGTGACAACAAGTTTCTCATAGGTTGAATACAAAGATGCATTAAAAAATAAGTTTTAGTCTTGTAATCTATCTCAAAGTTGTTGAGCTGAGTCCAACACTGACTTCCCACTGAAGCCAATAAATTCATACTACCTGGCCCACCAAAGTTTCCACCTGAAAGAGATCACTGCAACTCATTTCTCAGCACTAAAATGCTACTTACATGTCTATGTAAATCTTTTAACTATGGAATGCTGTAAAATGACATTTCTGTAGAGTATTTATGTAATATCTGACAACTAATTGCTTCAGTAGTCAGATTTTCTTATTGATTCTAAATAAGTAATGCAAGATAAACATTACCTTGATTTTCTTCCAGCTTTCCAATTGTTTCTATCTGTTCAACAAGGTCATTTGAGTTCCACTGGCTCATGCCTATGAGAATGGCACTTTTCCCTTCCACCATCTCTTCTGTAGGAGAAGAAAGGAGAACAGAATAAATTGCTGTGACAAACAACATAAAAAAAGACAGGGTGAGAACTAGTAATTGAGACAGAAATAAACACTCAGCATAGCCCCTAATGGGAACAGATAACAGGGTACCATATGGAGGACTCTCCAGAAAAGCTTCTTGCCTACTCATATGCTCTGCAGCAAATCTATATGCTTCATATTGTGTGCAGGAAAACAATGGAAAAGAGAGGACTGAATTTTTTTTCTTACCTTGAGCAGTCACTTAGAAACAAAGTTTATAATAATCTCTTTGAGTGTTTGAATGGTTGGTTGGTTTTGTTTCTATTTTTTTTATTTTTTAAGAACGTTCAAAAGGCAGCGCAGAGGGCAGAGTGGACACACAGACCATTTTAAGACTTTTCAAGAATGTTTTTTCCCATTTTATCAAAGCCACCTGTGCTACGCAAAGCTGTACATATCCATCTAGGGACACAGAGACATAATGGAATGACACCAAGCCCACAGCACAGAGAACCATCTCTTTTATTGGGATCCCATCCCGGGAGTGGGGTAGGAAAAGCTGAAAGCACAAAACACAAACCGTAGTTAGATATTTGCCCTCTTTCTTAAAAAACAAACCCAAAACCAAACAGGTCTAGAAGCAGTAGGAAACTATTACACAGCTTCAATTTAACAGCTGTTTCAAAAGAAGGGTGTATTAATCCTTTCTGAATACATTTACTAAAAGCACTGTACACAGCCCAGAATGGTCTTTATACCTAGGGTGAGTGCACAGAAAAAAAAAAAAGTAAAATAAATAATAACAATTCTTTACTTGTTAAGGCAGACTGTGAAATGAGGGAAGGTGAGATTGGGCCACTGAGCTCCTCGACATCAATGCAAAGGAGGAAGCCCTCCTGGTCTTCTCCATGCAGGTGCCTCCCAAAGGGACTTGCCTCACCCAGCGGGAAGAGGCTAGGCAGCCTGTCAGGTGGGAGACTGCTGGCTTTGGGGCAAGGATCTGTCCAGTACTGGCTTTAGCACTTAGGAATTGTATCAAGAGGACACTAAAGAACTGCCTCTTGTAGAGAAATAGGACTCCAAAATGGCTGAGCATTTAGATCTTTTACTTTTTTATTTTTCTTTCTCTGTTATGTCATTTACCAAGGCAGGCATTCCAGGTGGTCTTACTGTTTAGCAGAAAGATGAAATAAGATTAGAGGTCAGACTGTTTCTCATTTCTGCTAGCTTTCCGAGTTGGACAGAAAATGCTAAATGTGATCTGGAATACAGTGGTACTTAGTTCCTGACACCAGTGCCTAGTGCACTCCAGACCCTGGCTCTATGTCCATTCGGAGGGGAGACTGTGGATCACCTCTAGCCTTCCCATCAGTTTTAGGATCCCTTTTCCTTTCCCAGTTATGTTCCTCACCAACTTTTTTTCCTCTGCTTACAGAACTTATTCCTGAAAGGCTGTTTGTGAGAAAGCAGGGATGATACTAGATTAGGAGGAGGTATGGACTGCCTCATGGGTAGCAAGCCCTTACAGAGTCATCTGAGTTCTCTAGGACAGAGAGCCGGGCGATCACCAGCTGTATGAAATTTAACACGAACAAATGCTGGATTCTGCACCTGGGATGGGGTAATCCTGGTTATGCATACAAACTGTGGGACAAGAGGCTGAAGAGGAGCCTTGCAGAAAGAGATCTGGGGGTTTGGGTTGATCGCAAATTGAATATGAGTCAACAGGGAGTCCTGGCAACCAAAAGGGTCAAGAGTGTCCTGGGGGGCAGTGACTGTCCTGCTCTGCTCTGCTCTGCACTGGACTGGCCTCACCCCAAGTCCTGTGTGTAGTTTTGGGTGCCATAATACATGAAAGACATAGAGCTACTACTAGAAAGTGTCCAAAGGAGGACAACCGAGATGGTGAAGGGCCTTGAGGGCAAGATTTACAAGGAATGATTGAGGTCACTTGGTTTGTTCAGTTTGGAGAAGAGAAGGCTGAGGGGAGACCTCATCACAGTCTGCAACTTCCTCAAGATGAGCCACAGATAGGGAGTTGCTGATATCTCTGTGGTGATCAATGACATGGAGAAATGGAAATCTAAATAAAACTTGAAGAGTATTTTTGCAAGCTAACTGTAAAGTAACCTAAAATTGAAATATTCGTGTCAAATTCAATACGGACTATGTTCAGCAAATTCCAGGTGCAGTTTTTGTTCTAATTAGTCTACAATTCATGCCTCACTGACTCCAAAAATGGAGACATCAAACTGACCTTCAAAGCATTATTGAACAATGATTCAAAAGAATATTCCATCAAGCACAGTAAGTGATCATACTCACAAAGACAGAACCTAAACACATTTTTTGCATCAAAGAAACGACATCATCTAAAATATCTGAAATATCATCATTTTAATTCTCTTTTTAGACAAAATTTGAAGTATGATCCGGTGCTCAAAGTTACAATTCCAGCTTCACATGGAATTTGGAAACAGTGCTGAAATCCTCAAGAGAGCTGTTTCAAGCACATGGCAGGAGATCATTGAAAAGCACAAAGGCAATAGGAAGGAAAATCATCACAAGCTATTTTTCTTTTCTATTTCCAACTCTTTCACTCACTAAGCCTTAAGATTTAAATACAGCTTAAACAATTCAGGTATCCTATTCCCATTAAATACCAATTGGGAACAGAACACCATCTCTCATTCTCTTCATGCTTAGATGTCTTCAACACACATTTAATTATTACCTACACAAGCAGCTTATTGCATATTATTATCACTCACCAAAAGTCTGTTATTAGAGGATTAACAACTCAGTAACAGATATCGTTCACTATCTAAACACAGCAGTCACTTTTGTCAAATGTTAACTTTGGTTTTAATTTCACAGGGATTTTTTGCCCCCAAAATTAACATGCATGAACTCCAAGGATTTCCTCACATTTCTGAAGCACTGTGAGAATCTGGTGCAGTAATAACCTACTGCCTATACATCAATATGACCATCTGCACTGAACAAAACAGGAAACATACCAGACATTGGAGAAGTAATGACACTCTGGAGAAACTCACAGCACTTTGCACTGATCAAAGTGTTTTAAAGAAATTCTGGAAGCATCAAAATATTGAAACTCGTCATGATATGACAATATCTACTACGAACAACTCAATTTCAGCATGACGTGCCATCTAACAAAAGTCATGGCACTGGTTTTAAATTGCATAGCTGACCATATGTAACTAAGAACACACGACTGAACTGCTTTATGCAACAGTTAAAAAAGATTTATGAACACGGAGGTTGCATAAAGTTTGCAGAGAAATATCTGAAAACTTTAATACCTGTATTTGTCTCTTGGGAAGTTTTTTAATAGAGAAGGTGATGGAAGACTATGACTGGAGTCCATCGGTATATTATACTACAAACAGCAGAGGAAAGAGCTACTCTAAGCCACAGATGCAGGAGCACCACCAGCACCATCAAGCGCTTGGGTCTCTCTCTTCCAAAGTGATGGTAAACCACTTAGCAAGAGCAACAAATGAATTACATGGAAAATAACATACTTACAGAAACACCTTCCACTGACGTTTAACCCAGGGGAGACGGGGGAATGACACCCACTAGAAACTGAGGCAGGAAAAGATATTGTGACATTAAGACATTCACAAGCTATTTGCAATACAGCCTCTTCTTAAAATTTAGGTACTTCAGTGAATGAATGAGGGTCAGCATCCTCACACCTTGAGAGGCTTTTTGGTCAGCACAATAGAATTTTACACACAAAGCTGCCTTAGAGCCCAAATATGCTGAGGAGTGTTTAGACCTCCCAAACTTCCACTTTAGCTCATTGGTAGCATTTCCAAATAATATTCAAGTTGCTCAGCAGAGCATTCTAAAATTAAATAAATGAGACTATTAGATCTATTTTCAGGAGAGGAAGGTGAAGCAAATTAAAAACAGCTCTTAATTAGCAGAGAGCTACTACAGCCTTTTTAATGTGTTAGAATCTTGAGAAAGCACACACAGAGCCTGGATTGAAATATACACCATGTATTTATTGGTTTCAGCTTTCTATGAACACAGCAATAGAGAAGACAGTGCCATAAGGCTCAATGTAAGAAAGCAAAACTAATGACAAAAGTTTTTATGCAGACTGATCAAACTCAGTTGGGGAATAAGCTGTATTCCACGCCACCCCTCGAATCTTTAAAAAAGCTGTCAGTGAGTTTTTGACTACACATCTGCAAGTTACACACTTAGAAAGAAAAAAAAACCAAACCTTCACATCCTAAATCAGAAGCCTAATGTAGAGATAAAGAAATTCTGAAAAAGGTATGATTCTGATTGGTCAGATTCTCATCTGCTAGACTACTTTAAATCCAGAATAATTGCTGAAATCAGAGTTCATTTAAATTTAAAGTAGGTCAGAAAGTGGTGGCAGGGTCCCCTGTGAACAGTAATACCACCATTTGCATCTTATCAGAAACATAATATCAGCTGTTAAATTTGCTTCCTCTGTGGGAGGCCACAAAAAGCCTGAAATCACCTCCCAGCTACTTTAATAACAATCATCATAGACAGCTTCCTCTTACATACCCCTCTAATTTCCAGCCACCTGTCAGAAAAGATTTCTCATAGTTTTAAATTGAAAATATGAAAGCCTGAAAACAAAATTAATAGTTGTACATGACTCAAAAAATCAGTGCCCTGAGAGAGACCCCATCTATCCACACTCTATCTGCTTTTTACCCACTACCTAATACTGCTTCCTACATAAGAGTCCAGTGTCTGCATGAGACTGGTTCTCTCAGTGCAAAGAGATTTCCACAGACTGAGATGGATTTCAATGGCATGAATTTTCATGAGAAATGACACAACACTGGAGATTTTTGGTTTGCCTCCAAAACACAAGCCACCATTCTTACGGTTAAAAAAAGCAAATAAAGTACATATCTAGACACATGCCACACGCAGCCTCTCCCTCAAAATCTCAGTTACACATCCACATCAGCTTTGTATCTATGACAATTCACATTCCCATAATAATGAGGGATCATCTGAGTACCAGCTGCAGTGTCTGTGTGCCTGCCCACTGACAGTAAAGATTACAAGTGACAAATGAGCTTATATACCATCCATATTTCTTTCCTCTCTCTGTGCAGACAGCTGGAACATCCCTGTGCTAAAAGCTTGTTTCAGATAAGACAGCTGTTTGGTTCAGACTAAGGAGAAAATAATCAGTGTTCAGCAATGTATTTTCTGAAACACAGACCCGTGCGTGCACACACACAGAGCTCAGAGCTCTCAAAGCTCTCTTTAAATAGAGATGGGTTGCTAAATCCCAGCTCAGAGAAGCAGATCTGAGCTCATTTCAGGCTGAGCCTGAGCTGGCATTGTGACATCAGATAACATGTAGTCAGGTTTTTGTGCCGCAGCCTCCCTACAATTTTTAAAAAAAACACCTTTAATTTTTTTTACCATTTTTGGTCACTTATTTCTTTACTTTTATGTGGATTGCTTCTTGATTCTCAGATACAGAACCCTCTATGCCAACTGAGTAGTTACTGTAAGCCTAGTTATACAGAAACAGGGAATTAAAAACAGTATTTGAGGAATATCTCATGTCAGACTTCAAAAAGGCTCTGAAACGAATGCATGCCATATTAATACAGGCAGCAAATGAAGGAACTACCACAGGACATCCTTTCAGATTAAGTAAAAAAGAACAACTGCATCTCTTTCTGCACAGAGGCTGTAGCATACCTGTAGAGCCAGGTACTCATTTCTAACTCTGGTAAATCAGTATGATACAAGCATGTTTCTGAAAGAATGTGAACTCCACAATCAATTTCACAGATTCTAGAGGCAGTAGGATCTATTAAATAATTTCTTCAGACTTCCTGAATAAACTAGTTTTATCTGAATAAAATAGTTTTATCTTGCTATATCTGATCAACCAAACACAAATCATTTGACTTTCTTAAAAAACATTATTCCAGTATCTATCTCCATTTAGACCTGCCCAATTTCAACGGACAGTTGCAATGTTCTAGGAGAGGCCAAAATTTGGTACCAAGATTTCAAATTCAGTTTTAGTTTGAAAAGCTTTCTTCCCTGGTTTAACTGAGGTGGTTGTCTACTGGAGAGGACAGTGATAAAAAACTTGAGCAGTTTCTATTTCAAGTTTAAATTTGCCGTAAGATTTATAACTATAGTAGGCAGAAAGGAAATTGGAAAATAAGTGGTTCACCATCAGATAGACACCATCACTGGCAGATAAACTGAAGTCAAGGCATCCTGGATCCAAACCTGTACTTTGAATAATACACAGTAATAATCTGATTAATATTAGTTATGTCTCTGGAAAAAAAACTTGTTTAGGAAAATAGTGTTACAAATTCAGCTTTGCAGAAATAAATCAGTATCAGTGAAGTTGATGCAAGCTTCCAAACCACTCAGAGCACAAAGCTGATCCACTCAGAAGCTGTTCCACTTTTCACTGCCTACCTCCCACCCTCTGCATTTTTAAATTAACTAAAAAGCTCCTGATATAATGCTAAATTTTCACTTAAGCTTCTGTCAGCATGAAAACACAAGACTTGGTCATCAACCATTCTCGTAACAGTTCCACCCACAAAGAAAATTAAAACATGCTGGAAACTGAAGTTCACTTCAAGACAGCAGACCTTCAGTGCCATATACCGCCTTAAAAACACCAACTGCCATCTGCAAATCCACCATGCATCTCCAGACACCAAATCAGCATACAGAAAAGAGACAGAAGCCAAAGTGGTCCTATAAAATAAAACTAGTTTGCTCAGAAATAGGCCTCATGCAAGAGGAACAGAATGCTGGGAATGGAGGGGATTTTCTCTCTGCACCACAAATATCACCAGAGGGAGAAAATGAATGACAATCTTAGTTATGCAAATGTTTTTGCACTTAGACATCAGCAGAATGTCTGCTGAATGTAGTATTAATGAAGAAACAAAATAAAAAGCACATCCAAACCCAAGCTAAGTTTCCCATAGGACAGTTGAGTTTTCCCACTTTGGACTGTGTTTACTTTACACTAGAAAAGAAGTGTAAACAAACATTTAGGGAGGGGAATCATTTTCATAGAATCATAAAATTGTTTGGATTGTAAGAGTCTTTTATAGATCATCTAGTCCAACATCTCCTGGCATGGGCAGGGACTCCACTAAATCAGACTACTCAAACCATACTTAATGAATGCAGTTTGCTACAAAAGCAAAGGAGACTCAGAAAGTTCATTCCATAACCTTTACTGATGACTTACCAGTAAAGACACCTCAGTCTGACCTCAACAGCCTACACTATGAAAGATACTATAGTTGGATTTCACAGTAGTAGCAGAATTAATCCTCCCTTGCTGGTTATTCTCTTCAGAAAAAGCAATTGAAACACATTAGAAAAGCATTAGATTTGGTTCCTGAAAACAGAACCAAAACCAGAGCCCTGGTCTCCCACTGACGGTGAGAACCTATGTATATGCACAAAAATCTACAAACTCTTCTCCCACTTCAGAACAAAACTTGTGTTAAAGAATGTGTCCAGATTCACGGTCGCACAGGGGATGTCAGGAGTGCTGCAGGTACCTCAGTTGGTCAGAGCACATTGCTAATAATGTCAAGGTCATGGGTTAGATCCCCATATGGGCCATTCACTTAAGAGTTGGACTTGATGATCCTTGTGATCCTTTATAACTCAGAATATTCTGTGATTAAATCCACAAGCACCCCTTGAACCAGCAGAAGTCTCAGTCCCTCCAGGGAAAATTTTGACAGAGTGGAAAACCTAAGCCATTGATCTTAAAAGTTGGTCATCAGTAACGTAGACACTCATGGCCTTCATCAGAAACTGTGAACAAGTGAACTGTGAACTCCAGTTGGAACATCATACACGGTCTGATCTGGGAAGGAGCTGGACCAAAGAGACTCCATTAGGTCTGTGCTGGTGCAGTCCTGTTGCTTCTGACACCAGACTCAGTTCAGGGTAGCTTGCTCATGCACCCCAGCACCTCACCTGTTTAGGTGAGGTGTAAATTTAGGTCCATTTATAAATCCTGGAGAGAAGATCTGATGGGTTTTTTTGTCTGATGAGGACAATGCTGTCAGTTTGCCTCTAAAGGAGCTCAGTTACTTGTTGCAAAATTGGAGGAAAAAAATGGGGAGAGGAGGACAAAAAAGCACACTGACCTCGTGCATCGAAGAATTCATCATCGGAGCTCTCCACGGAGTCCCTGAGGACACTCTGCATGTGCCACTGGGCACCACCAAACCGGCATGGGCCAGCTGAGAATACAGAGAGACTCGCGTTAACCCAAGAGAACACTCACCTCTGCTCCAGAAAAAAAAACCAAACCAAAACAAAAAAACAATGCATTAATGACACAATCTGTGTACATTTTGGTCATCACGCATACTTTAATCTCAACAGTCAACCAGTCAGAGCTTTCAGGATGGCACAAAAATACTTCCACCTACGAAAGTGATTAAAACAAGTTCTTGTTAAAGATAAGTCTATTGCTTTCAGCTAATGCAGTGACCTCAAAAGGTAAATTCTTCCCTATTGAATTCATCTGACCATTCCATTCCAACACTCAAACTGCATATTGTTTCTAAAACATGAAGCAGCATTTCCCCAGGACATGGCAGTATCTCCATTCAAATTCAATTTCACTCCTAAAAGAAGTGTCATCCTATTTAGCTCACAGATTTGCAGACAAACTACTCAATTCTCACTCACTGAGCTGTTTTCATCACAGAGGTTTGCTGTGCTGGAGCCTGGGGCATTCATTTGAAGCTTCCATTTGACAGCAGACAGGAAGGCAAAACTGCATTAGAATTAGTACAGTAACAGATATAGTGATGACAGTGTAGATAGTCCTAACAGATTATCATACTCAAACTAATTTGTAATTAGTAAACCAGACTTGCCTAACTATACGAGTTCTCTTTACATCTACAGCAAGCCAACACTAGAAAGCAGTAGTGAAATACATTCCTTCTATTAACAACAAAGTCTCCCCACAATCAGTGGAGAACCAGGCATCAAATCCACCATACCCCTAACTACACTACTGTAGAAAGGACACTCATTACCCACCAACATAGTGTCCTTGGTTCTATTCATTTCTGCAAATGACGACATCAGACCTGAATCTAATATCCAGAGCCCCTGGCCACAAAAGCATTCTTCTTCTCTCAGTAGGAAAACAGCAACTCAAGCAGAGGATGCATCTTCTATACTATTCTGTGGAACACATGCCACTAGGTCCACAGCCTTTTGTTCTTCATTTATTCCACCTATAGCTGAATTAATCAGAAATATAAGTGAAGAGTGGTAAGAAGCAGCAGATTTTAGCTGGCCAAGAAGAGAGTAAAAATTAAAATCAGTTAATAGCATCTAAATAGGGTAAAAAAAAATTGGTTATTAAGGAGTCAGTATTCATTACAAGAGTATGTTGCGTGTTAGGAATGTGTCCAGTGGTATCTGGCAGCTACTGCAGAACCATATCGACCACTGCATTTACTATTACAGATTTCTGGAAACTTTTACTAATGACAGGAAACAGTAAACTGAATTATTCCTTACCAAACAAGACCTTGCTGTCCCTCCATTCAGATATCTATCCTAAAACATATCACTACAGTCTTCAAAACAGTGGTAGAAAGAACACTAATCTGAACTTCTAATGAAGACAAGTCTGCATTGCGTCAATGCTTGGAAGAGCAGGCATTCCAAAACTGCAAAAGCATGAGATGGGAGGGAAGGAAGGGCAGGGGGAGGGAAGGAAGGAAAGAAATATAAAGCTGTAAAGACTTCAAAAGTACTCCAAAGCAAACAGCAATTCCCTGGGGAAAACTGCCACTAGCCCGGTTGGAAATCAGTAAAAGTACTGTCCCCCCAAAGCAAGCTCACGGTTCCAGGGACCTTGGAGTTTGGTGCACAGTGTGAAGGGAAGACAGGGAAAAGTGTCACAAATATCCAGGCATAAATTCTGGCTATGAGAAAAGACCTTGGAAGCATCAGTTTTATTATTATTTGCACTAGGAATGCTACTAGATTTAGAAGCAGCATAAGCATATCCACAGTCAACAGCACAAATCTGCATGATCTCACTGAGGCAGCTCTCCACATCTACATAGATTTGCTGGCTGGGCTGCATTGCACTGCCCTAATACATTGGTCCTGTAGAGTCTGCTTCCCTCTGTGCCAGTAGATTAGCATTAGCCACCTTCAGAAGACTCTATTAACATTTCTTGATTGCATTAGACACTGACATTGCCTGGACTCACTGATTTGATTTACAGTGTCAACTGCTGCATATTTTATTTTATTATTTTTCTTCAGAGAATGAAAAGACCTGCCCTACTTGGGAACGCAGGCAAACTCCTTGGTAAGGACACTTGATGCTTCTATGGCAGTGAACTTACTCTGTATCAGATCAGTCAGCTGATTCTTAGCAGCCAGATACCAGTAATTTTTGCACCCAGGGCAGCAACTTTCATTTAATTTTTAGTTGTTCAGTATCACAATTTCTGAAGACAGAAGGGGACCGCATGAAGAAATACTTTTAACCGAAACCACTAATGACAGAGTCACAACAGTAGAAGCACATACAGCAGTTCCCCACAGGCTGTTGGGGCAGCACAGCAGAAGGACAGTAGGATACAAGGGGAACATTTCCAAGAGGCAGAAGGAGAGCCCACAGAAATGCACAGGTGCTTCCTTTCCGAAAGAAGCAGAAGTGAAGTTTCCTACCTAAACTGCTCTCTCTGCACAGAACTGCAGATTGTGGCAGTCACCTGTCAGAGAGGGAGCTGGCAGGGGCTGGCCCTGAGCACACAGCCACAGAAACAACTGCAGAGAGGACAGGAGCAGAGCATCCTGCAGCACCAGGCACAGAAGCTGCATGCTCTAGTTAGGCTAGCACTAACTGTTATTAATTGTAATTATGATTACAATCAGTGATTTTCTTCTGTTTAAAAAGTCTTGCTTTTTCTTCTTCAACAAAGAACAGCTGGAATTTCCCTGGTACTTTGCTGCATCAGTGACCTGGTGACATGAGGTGAGCTGCTATGATGCATGAGTAAAATGCAATGGTGGAAAGCACTCTCTTGTTTTTCCCTGCACTAATTTTTCTCACATTTTATTTTTTTCTGTGGTTGATGCTATTGTATCTACCCGAAGACAACTTTTGCAGGACCTACAGAAAACAATAATCCTACATGTATACTATTCCATAGTATATCCATCATGGATATGCTAGATTGGGGTTTGTGATTCACCATACTCCACAATATACCCCAACCTCACAGTAACTGTCATTAATTAGCAATTTATACAAAGCCACTTTTGAATGTTGTTGAAAAACAATCAGTTAAAGTAAGGTTTTTAGATTTACAATATGTTCATTAGCCAATTTACCCATGTTAGATATTGATTCCTTACCCCTAAGATGTGTAGGTAAGGATCACAACTGAAACCTTTATCCTGTACAAAATAGCTTCCAGGAGGGTGAGAGCCACAGATACGATCAGCTGCATCCTCCTGTGATAAGCAGCAAAATAGTAACTTAACTAAAAAATTCCACATTCTATTATATGACACTCACACTTCCAGCTGAAGGCAAGTCAGGATGCACCTCTGCGGATGTCATCCTAATTCAGATGCAAGGCAAATTTTATCCCTGGTGTTTAGTGACAAATTTTATCCCTGGTGTTTAGTTCCAGCAAACAGCAGAAGAAACAGCTCCCACTCACATATCTGGAGTTTCTAATGCTGCCCATCCAGAGAAGGAACCACCCACTATGATGGTGCAATCTCTGATATGTTCCACAAATAGACCTAAGGAGCAGAACAGCCATGAAAAATGCCAATTCTACTTTCACCCACAAACATCAGCAGAGATAATTTTATCACAGTTCCATAACAAATCAACGGCAATTGAAAAGTATATATAAGAGAATAATTGTCTCTAGCTTCTCCTGGTCAAGAGGCATAAACCCAGATTCTTTCCAAAGGCCCCTCTTTTTTTTGTACATATTGGCAGTGACATGACAATTAAGCAGTGCATGAGCACACTTCACTCCATGTGCTTATCAGGGGGATTCTAAAAGAGGAAAAAAAAAAAAAAAAAAAGAGAAACACAAGAAGAATTAAAGTGACTCTACTGGTCTGTAGCCAACATTCTTAGGACTAAGGAAATGGAAGAAAAACAGGTAAAAAGTGAAGTAAGGCCTAAGAGACTTTGAAAAGCCCTCTAAAAAACAAAGGTCTTCCTCAGGCAACTGAACAGCTAACATTGGTGACTCCCAACTCTAATTTAATCATTCTCCTATATCCTTTTAAAAGGCCTAGTGTCCAAAACACACACATCCTAAGAGAGAACAGCTCATCACTGTCACTCAAAAATTCTGGTTCTGCCTTCTCCTCATCTTGAAATATCTTTTAAAAACACTGACTGCAGCTGAAAAAGAAAACCACATCTCGAATCATCACTGTAGATTTACAGTAGAACTTCACCAGTAGGACCAGCACAAACACTGTGAAATGGAAATGAACAAAAGGGCAATGACTTCATTCCTGTAGCATATTTGTGAGGGCAGAGTAGCAGCACAGTAAGCTCAGTCCAGAAGCATCAATGTAAGAGTCACTCCAGCATGTCCCTCTTCTATTTACCGATGCATGGATCAGTGGTTACTTTGTCAGGCAAACAGAACAAGCAGAAAGCAAGCAGGCTGATCCAAATGCCATCATACCAGCCTCTAGTGCACTGGTAGCATCACCAGTATGACAGGCTGTCCCAAAGACCAGCCCGTTCAGGTGTCCTCACACCGGATCTGCCAGGAAGGTTCAATTCAAGCAGCTTGGGATAAGAGCAGGAGTTTTCATTGGATGCAATTGCAGTAGGGGGCTTTACTGGAAAACTAATTCAATACAATTCGCTTCACTGTCACATTATCACACATTTCAAGCTTTGCAGTAGGCCTAGCCTTTTCCTGCATCTTTTGCTTGGTAACAAACATTTGCCAATCAAGCCTAGATATAAGCACATGCCAGACATAGGCAATCATAAAAAAAGTACTCCTGAATACTATCAGCACACCAACCTAGTTAGAGATGAAACAGCACATAATGTTCTCACACCTCCTGGAAACTCAGTCTTTTGCCCAGTTAAGTACTGAGGATTGAATTAATCTCAACAAAATATAATAAAAAAAATAGATTCTGTTGCACAGATTAGAACATTTCCAATGGTCAAAACTTGTTTTAGAACTGTGACCATTTTCAATTCAGGGACAGTTTTCCTAATAAAATTAAAAAACACAAGTCATTTTTCCACTTGGAAAAAGATGCTAGGTAGAAGAAACGACCTTCACTGTTGCCAGTGACTGCTATTGTAAAATAATACTTCTTTCCATTCTGATGGTTTCAGATGCTTCCTGCCTACCCATTAAGTGATTTAACTGAGCTACCCACACAGTGTTACCTAGTGACTATGCAGTTAAGACTTATTGGAGGCCAAAATCACCCACTGCATATTCTAGTTACATGCTTTATTTGTTCTTTTGTAAACGTGAAACTGAAAATGTATGTTACAGGAGTGAATTTAACTACTGGAGGAACTCCTCAGATTCAGGAGCTCAGGCAAGACAGAGATGCAGACCTTTCCTTCAATAATTCCAGAGTGAAAACTAACGTACTACGTACGCTCAGAGAAAGCCCTCGCCTGCACACAGAGCATCAAAAAAGAGACCATACATTGACATCACCGATAGCAGGGCCATACAGAACTCATCCAAACTCATGCAATGAATCTGCAGCAGAAACTGGAACTTAAGCGAAATCAGCTGAAGTTGAAATGAAACACACTGCAAGCAGAAAGGGCTGAGGGGAGGGTGCAGAGTGGGAGGCCTACATATCTGTGAATCTAAAGGTGGAGAGCGAGAAAAATAACAATGGGAGGCAAGGGGGAGGTCAGAGAGAGAGCACATACAAGGCTAAGGGGGACAGGGAAGAGAAAAGGAGAAGGTTAAATCAAGATATCAAGTTCTCTTGTGAGAGAGCACAGCTGACAAAGCCAGAGACATAGTTACAGACAGAAAAAAGTCCACACAAATTGCAGGTTCCCTTGTCAATAAATGAAAGAGCTAACTGATGGAACAGTCTGGAAACCACTGTGGTCAAAAGTGTCCAACACAACCAACTCCTCTCTCCAATTCCTCATTCAATGTCTTTCATCTTGTAGCAATTCCACAGTGACAAGTCCCGGGTTACCTACTTTGTACATCATTCCACTAGCAATTCTGCAGCAGATGGTAAGGACAGGCATGTATTTGCCTATTAAGTAAAGAAAACAAATCAAGGAATTAAGCCACGCAGGTCTTTAGGCCCCTATTTTAAGGTACCAGTGAAATTTCCAGTCTTGCACTCTCTGGGATTACTAGTGAGGTGGAGGGAGAGAGAGAAGAGCTTTAACATGGCTGTTCAGGCTCAAAATCCTAGACAGAGCTTTCCTGTAAATGTGGTACATCTCACAGAGCTGTTTCTTGATGTTTCAGATGCCAGCTCCCTCTCAGCAGAAATTAACTTCACTCTCCCTCTCAGCAGTATCATCACCTCCTCCAAACTGACTCCCCAAAACCAGAGAAGATATGAATATTCTCTAACCTTTTCCTGCAATGGGAAAATGTAGGTGGACTGCCTGCATCACATCTGAAAGACTCTATTTTCATAGTGCAGAGATTCTGGCTTTCTGAGGAGGATGTAGCATTTTTGAGTCACTATGGTCTGTTAAAACTGAAGTAGGAGATAAAGAGCAAATATTCCCTCCCCCTTCCCCCCCCCCCC